AAAAAAAATAAAATCCTGTGTCATTCACAGCAACATGGATGAGCTTGGAGGACATTACATTATGTGAAGTAAGTCAGGCACAGAAAGATAAACACCGCATGTTCTCACTCAGATGTGAGAGCTAAAAAATTGTAGCTCACAAAAGTAGAGAGAATAGGGGCCAACCCCATGGCTCACTCAGCTGAGTGCAGAGCTGGGAGCGCCGAGGCCACGGGTTTGGATGCTTTATAGGGATGGCCGGTGCGCTCACTGGCTGAGCGCGGTGTGGGCAACACCAAGCTAAGGGTTACGATCCCCTTACCGGTCACACACAAAAAAAAAAAAAGTGGAGAGAATAGTGGTTACTTGAGGCTGGGAAGGGTGGGATGTGGGTTTAGGGAGAGGCTGGTTAATGGATATAAATGTACAGCTAGGGAGAAAGAATGAGTTCTAGTGTTCTATAGCACTGTTAGGTGACTATAGTTAACAACCATTTGTTGTGTATTTTCAAATAGTTAGAAAAAAATCTTTTTTTCTAACTATTTGAAAAAATGTTTGAGGTGATGGATATACTAATTAGCCTGATTTGATCATTACACATTTATACATGTATTGAAATGTCAGTTTGTACCCCATAAATACATAAAATTATTAAGTGTCAATTAAAAAAAATAAACAACAAAAACATACCTATAGTGTTTGAAGCCAAAATACATCTATGCACTAATTAGCAAACAATTCTTCAAAGATTCAGGAGACCCAGATTCTCAACTTAAACTTGTAGCTAACTCTGTTCAACTTTGGGAAGTTCCTTTTATTTCTCTGTAAAATGAGAAGGTTGAACTAGATCTTCTATAGAGATGCTTTAGTCTCAAAAATCCTATGTTTCTAGGACAGCATTCCAGGCCTGGACAATTTATATAACCAGAACTTCCCCCTCCTTCCCATTCTAAGTTCCTCCAGATGCCCTTTGATATGAGCAAGAGCTGGTACAACTGTGCTTTTTCCCAACTTCCAGCAGGGCCTCAGCTAGGGGTAGATTTTTACTGCTCCTGCAATTCTTACTAATACAAGGCTCATTACTTCTGTCTTGAGACATTTCAGGTGGAGCTTTTTCTATTTTCATTCTGGGCCTAGATTTCTTGGTCACTCTAGCACCACATGTATTACCAAGGGTTTGGTGACAGAGTCAACAGCCATGTCTTACTTTGAGGATAACCATTTTGGGACACCAGGCACCTAGCAGGACATAGCTGTGCCAGAACACATTTCATAGTCCTTCTACTGTTGTCCTCCCCTTCTAGCTTCCTCTCTTTTCCCCATACAGGGACAGGAAAAGCAAGGCAAGAAAAATCAGTCTGCCTCCTCTCTCTCAAGTCCTGAAGTTCTTTTGGAAGTCTGTCACTTAAATGGAGTTTGTTGAACTTCTCCCCTTGGGGTAGTCAGAAATCACTTCAGATATAAGATTTCAAATGACTTTAAAGAGACTACTACACTGTATTTCTCCTCATAATGGACTGTGAGCCTCTTTCCTTGACAAGCAATTGAGGGCATTGTCTGTGTCTGCCCATCTTCATAACAGCTGGAGGACCCAGCCCACAGCCTCACACAAGGACGATGCTCAGTGTTATTTGACTAAGTCAGAAATCCTTGCCAAAGAGAAACCATGCTTTTCCTGCACAAAGAGACTTAGGGTCTTACAAATAGTAGGTGCTCACTAAATATCTATTGAGTAAATGAACTGTGGCTTAATGTCAATCACATCTCAGGAAGGCTCAGAAGAAGCTGAATCCCTCAAACAAAGAAGAAAAAATACTGGATGGAATTAGAAAAGATTAGATAGTATAGAAAAAAAGACTAGTGAACTTGAAGACACAGCAATAGAAACTATCCAAAATGAAGCATACCAAGAAAAAAGACTGAAACATAAAATAAAAAACCAGAGCATTAGTGAGCTATGAGACAACTTTGAGTGACCAAATACGGACATAATTGGAATCTCTGAAAGGTGAGGGGTGGGGAGAGGAGGTGACAGAAAAAA